CGTCATTGGGAAGATGGCAGCGAATGCCATGAAGGCTCTGATATAGTGGCCACTGATTGTTTTGTACCGACAGAGGTAGCAGCAGGCACCACGTCAATGGTCCTAGACCATACGTATATCTCACTCAGAGAGAGAGGGGATTCTAGTTCACAGGATAGCGTAACTGCTATTTGTCCGAGAAAACACGATGGGAGGGCTGAAGCACTCTTCAAAATAAACAGTATCGAATCGGAGGTGGGCTCGATAGTAGGTATGGAGAATGCCAGACAGGGTCTTGAACCTGAGAACGTGATTGGTTTTGAACCTATAATTAAGTCCACTCAAGATGAGCTGTATAATGACCGAGCACAACGGCATCCCTTCTCAAGAATCCAGGAACCTCACACGCTTGTCGGAGCGTTTGGGCTTGCTGAGGGCACCCCGAGCTTGTGTTCATTAGATGGTGAATTAAAAGAAAGCATTTGTGTGAGAGATTGTGGCATTTGGACATTCGTGTCTCAGTGCGTTTCGTGTCGACGCCGACGGCTCGAGACCGCGCCCTGTTCCTCTGTGACCGGTAAGCGTTCATGTGGCCGGCGGGGGCGCAGACACGCGTTTCAGCGAAAGTGCATAAAAGCATGTTTGCCACAGTTACTTTCGAAACGTGCGAGAAGGGCAGTGCGTCTGGTTTGGGACGCGATAACCTGAGTGTAGGGTTAGAAAACCGGTAGCTCTTTCTGGACTTCGACTTTTAGATGCGGACGCAAGTAGCTTTGTCCATAGTCGATTTTGTAGTAAAAAGGTTTATTCCGGGTTTCAGAACTTTTAAATGCAATTGGGTGAATCTAAAGTTTAAGTGTGGACATTTGGACGATGTAGCGAACTGTAGCCCGGTGATGTGTTGAACTGCGTGGTGCAAATATGTGGTTTAATTGTGACGTAGTGCAGAACGCGCACTCATCGGCAGTTTTTTTTTCTAAAAAAAAAACTTGAATAAAAGGGGGGCGTATGTGATGTGTGGTGCACGTTCAAAGTGCGCGCCTTCGAAAAGTGCGCGTCACGGAAAAAAAAAAAACAAAAGGAGAAATACCAGAGTGCACGTGCGGTGCTGCTTAAACAAGAATGACGACGTTAAAGAGCGTCAAGCACGAGGATGCGTGGCAGGACGTGAAGTAAACAAAAGGTAAAACATCCAATGGGCAGCGAACACGGAGATTTCAAGGCCCAATGGCTTGACACCACGAAACAGTAGTATCTCCAATGAGAACGAGACAAGTGGGCCAGAGCTGAAGCAGGAGCCTGGGGAGACCAGAGCAAGGGGAATTCGAGGCAGGCAGTGCAAGCGGAAGGTCGTCACCGGACCGGGCGCTGAAGATGGGCCGTTGGGTTCCGGACCCGAGCCTACAGGACTTCCACCGGCCGGGGCCTCCTGCTGTCGGGTTCCCGCTCCAAAGGACCGTGGCCATCCGGTCCTGAACTCCTTTCCAGGGCCTGCGGACTTTGGTTCCGGCAGGCGAGCTACAGCCGTCGGGCTCCGGGCCCGAGCTGTGCGCCCAGCTGCTTGACTAGGTCGACCCTAGTTCCCGGACGCGTCGCCACCAGCCTGCGTTCTCCCGTCTCCGACGTGTCCACGCTCCTCAAGCCGAAACCATCACGATTTGGTAGGGCTTTTCGACGTGTCGCCAGCAGCCAGCGTTCCCTCGTCCTCGTCCAGCCCACGCATTGACGCAGGAGTCACGGCGTTCCGGTTTCTCATCACCGCCGAAAACCAACTTGTGGGTGAGACTGCACCGATACTCTTGCGCTACTCCCATCACTCAGCCCCTTTCGAACGTTAGGTTTAGTTACTGACTTTGAACGTTCTTGTTGGGTGTTTACAGATGTGTTTCGTCATGTCCAGTCAACTGTTTATTAAGTGTTTTGTTTTGTGAGGAATCTTTGCCTTTTTTCTTTTCAATTAAACTTTTTGTGTGTTTCTTGGAAACCGAACGGCTTTGTCCTTATTAACAAAACTCTCTGAGGCTCAGCCCGGGAGAAAAACAAATCAGCAACAAGAACCCGCATCACAATGCCTTATGAACAACTAGAAAAGTTCTTTTTCTGTGGTTCAAGCGTGCACAGAGTTCCAATTTGCCCATAAGTGAACCAATTTTCGAGCAGAAAGCTCGAGAGATCGCCATGCAAATGGGTGTTAAGAACTTTGTCTTAAGAACTTTGTCTTAAGAGACGGATGGCTCAGCTGCTTGAAAACACACCATGGCCTAGTCTTCAAAGCAAACTCAGGTGAGAGTGGTGCAGTCAACAGGGAAATTTGCACCGACTGGCAATAGGGGCGGTTTAAGGAAGTTTTGATGAGCTTTGAGCCACGAGACGTCTTCGCCGTCGACGAGATGGGTCTTTTTTATAAGACGCTTCCATCAAGGACTCTCACCTTCAAAGGCGAAGCCTGTAGTGGAGGAAAATGCAGTAAAGATCGCATCACTGTGCTGGTGGGTGCAAACATAGAAGAAGATGAGAAATTGAAGCTGTTGGTAACAGGAAAATCAAGGCACCCACGTTGTTTCAAAAACGTTCGACACCTTCCCGTTGCATACCATGGGAACAGAAAGGCGTGAATGTCTATGGCCGTTTTCGAAAACTGGCTTCAGGAAGAAGACGCAAGATTTACAAGGCAAGGTAGGAAGGTTGTCTTCGTCGTGGATAATTGCCCAGCCCTTGGTCAGGTTCAAGTACTCCAAGCCATCACTCTAGAGTTCTTGCCAGATAATGCAATGGCAGTGATCTAGCCAATGGATCAAGGGGTTATTCAGAACATTAACGTTCATTACCGCAGACAATTGCTCCATCAAATGCTGCGTAGAGCAGGCAGCGGGAAATGCTACAGCATAGATGTATTGGCAGCCATCGACATTTTGGCTTGTGCCTGGGAGCAAGTGAAGGCAACAATACACAGATGCTTTCGCCATGCTGGCTTTCAAGAGCAAGAAAGCAGTACCTGATGTAGAAGAAAGCCCTGCTGATGCCGACATTGAGACAGTATTCAGTCAGGTCATACCCTCTGCCCCTTTTGCGCTGCAGGACTACAAATCAATTGATGAAAATGTTCGTACCTGTCGTGAAGAGACTGTCGAGGAAATCATTGCCAAAGGATCATTGCACGATGAGGATCAACCCTTCAGTGATGAATGTGATGACAATACTGAAGACTTGCATTTATTCGCAACTTGCAGGACATCCGTCATTGATTGAAGTAATCGGTGATGTGCGTCTGCACACCTTTGCCTTGCAGCGAGTCAATCAATTTCGCACGCAGCTTGCAGAGCATGTCTACTTCGGCTTCAGCATTCTCCTGGCAAGAGAAGTTGCATGCGGCAATGTTTAGCGCCGACACTCTCGAACGACGACAATAACTGCATCTCCCCTACTACCCCCTGTGCCAAAGCCGCAGCGACGCCAACACGTGTCGAGAAAGGAGGAGCGTCTCCACGTGGAGAGAAGCAGATCGGCATTAGAGAGAAAACCAACACTCCACGGCAGCTTTTTTCTTTTTTGCTCTCTTTGCATTTGCACGCATTGTTGAAAGGAGAAGGGTTACGTTGCAGGGACGGGAAAGGAGAAGCATGGCATCGGCGCGTGAGAGAGAGCCACTCTCCCCGACAGCTTTTTTTTTTCCTCTCTCTCTCTCTCGGCACCCGGCATTGGAAGTAGAAGGGTGTTTACGTAGCAGGGGTGAAAAAGGGAGAAGCGTGGCACAGGCACGTCGCTGATCGGCATTTGAGAGAGAACAAACATTTCACCACAGTCTTTTATTTCCTTTTCTTTTCTTTCGCACGCAGCGTTGAGATGTCGGAGGTACCGTCACGGCATTGGGTGGGGTGCTGAGAGCATTTTCGGAACGTAGTATGTTCGAATTAACCATCGCAAGGGCTTGTGCGTTCGAATTACCGGGCGTTTTCGCCCATTGGAATACACATAGCTTTGATTAGACCTCATCGTAAGTTCGAATTAATTGAAAGTTCGAATTAAGCGTGTTTATGAAATAATGAGATTCCACTGTAGCGATTTTGTGTTCTGAAAGCCAGTCGCTACATGGTTCAAGACTAACTCGTTATAGCCTAAGATGTCGCTTCGGTTGTCAACACAATATATTCTACACATACAAATCGGTTTGATGGGCATTTTTAACTGGATGTTTGTCTTGTTGCTCGTCCGTGATCCCAATTTTTGAGTCTGAAATGTAAAAAAGTGGGTATAAAGAGGCCCCTGTGAATAGCTGCCAGACTGGGTTGCCAACAGCCTGTTTTCGATGTATGGGGAGCTAAGTCAAGCTTTTGAAAAATATCCCGGCTAGTACCAGGGGCGGGCTCCGCCCATCATGAAGCGATCCAGAAGGGGGCTCAAGCCCCCCCCCCCCCCCCCCCCCCCCCCTTTCAGTCTCTTCCTAAGATAGGAGGGTTTTGTGTGGTCCCCTTAAAGTCGTATAATCGAGACCCCACTGCACAAAACATAGCTGCACAGAATTACACAAATGACATGTGGATAAATAGCAGAAAGCACAAGACTTGGAACAGTGGAAAACAATTTTGTGATGGGTAATCATTTATTTTATCGTATTAAATTTCATTGTTTTGAACATGGCTGTGCAGTGGTCTTAAAAAAGACAAACCACGAAAGGCAGGGTGTACAAGAATGAGAATACTGTCTCATTGGGCAAGTGAAGATCGCTTTCTGTGGAGGGCTGCTGGCAGCTTGTTTGGTCGTGGCCCAACGTGTGGAACCATGTATGCACTTGTGGGCTGAGCCACTTTATCTCGTGATGTGCAGAGAGCCGAGTCGAAAAAATTTAATTAAAGAGGAATTTAGGACCTCCCTGGCCCCCTGGGTCCCTGTGCGGCCCCTGCAGAGAGCATGTTGTAGGAACTGCTTAAGGAACAGCCCTGTTACCATTGAAGTCAAATTGATGGAATCCACTAGTACTTCATGTAATTCTTGCGATGTCAGTGATGCCTTTACATTTCCAGGAGAACATGAAGAATGACAAGTTTGACGAAGTCCTGCTTGCTATTGCGCAGTCCATGGCAGAATCGTCAAGGAAAGCACCTCCTGAAACCAAAGGTAACTGTGCTTTTTGTGGCTTAGCGGTGTAGTGCAACCCATCAGCATGTATTCGATATATCCAGCCGTGCAGTATGTAGTTCCTTGAACCAACTACTCGCTTGCATTCTGACATGGCCAATAGTTTTCATACTGACTGCATTTTTGTCTATGTTGATAAGGCTGTCAACTGCATTGCCTGTTGCCAATTGTTTTCGAAGCTAAAGGCTTTTGTATTAGAGAGTGCGATGCTTCTAAATTTGCTTGTAGGACACGATTGGCCAAATAAAGTAGCTGCACGTGTCTATAGTTCCAGTGACAGCAGCGAATGTTTATTGACAGGACAACGCACCTTCAAGATAGAAAAAGTTTTATATTTCGCTGATGCAATAAAGAGATTTCTTTCTGGAACCGAACATTGTGACTCGTTTTAGATGACAGGTGAACATATTTTGTGCTAGAGGTTGCGGAGTAGCCGTGCTCTGACGGCACACAACGCTCATGTTTGTACTAGTTGTACTTTTATTTTATAGGGTATCGCGAGGCTGCCAATAGAGGTTGCACGGCATTATTAGCTCTAAAGTATCTCTTGAGAGATACAGTTAGTGAAGCATTGTTTAAAAATAAGAATTGCATATTGAAATTACCTCAAAATGGAGAGGGTGCTCTTTCTTTGTTGTCATAATTCGCGCTTTTGGTTTTGCTGACGCAAAGTAATTAGGTGATACTTCTGTGTTCCGCTTTTGCTAGATACAGGCACTATGTGTGATTTTTCAAGCAAAAGCTTTTGATTATACGCATGCAGATTTCAAAACACTGCTGAGTTGTAATATAGGCATCTCTTTTTTTTTTCTATTTTTTTTATCCGTTCCAATATACTGTCGCAATGAACACGAGGTTCAAGTTTACATTTTGGTTAGCCACTCAATTTCTTCTGTGTAAACACCAGCACAAATAAAAATCAACCTGTAGCTTCCAAATTCCGGCTATTCAGCTTACACTGATCACTTATACAAAACACTGCATTACTTTTTTTTTACCCTTTCTAGAATTTTTTTTATACACCTAAATATCTTTCATTCCAGCTCTAGCTTTTTTTGTACAAAATGTTTCTGCCTAACCAGAAGCAAATTTCTGTGCCACTAACCTGGCATTGGATAACATTTTCAATTTTGCACCACGCTATGCCTTGCAGGCAAGTATGTGCAAAATTCATAGCACATTAAATTTTTTTGCTGCATTTACTGACAGTTATCAAGAATCCCAAACTGTCGAGAGCACAGGCACATAAAGTTTATATAAATGTGCGTTTGATAAATTGTGGATGAAAAGTTAGGAGATGGAGTGAACACAGGGTTCGTACAGGTTCTTGAAATCCCTTGAATTTGAAAAATACATATTCGAAGACCTTGAAAGTCCTGGAATTTCTTGGCATCCTTGAAAATACTTGAATTTCCTGAGCAGTACACTCTCACGTTGACATCGCAATCTCATAAATGTGGTACATCGGTGTGTAAACCTGTCGAACTCATTTCTGAAGCATGAATGCAGCGTGGGTGCACATGTTCTCATTTTGCAAAGGTGCATGTGAAAAAAAAGTTGAGCTTCTGGTGAGGGTGAAGCAGTGAATGTGATAGCAAGAAATTTGAATGTCACACGAAGAAGGGCAAGCAATCCCATACGTGCAACGCACCGCTCAAGCATGAAGGATGCACGAAGAAAAAAAAGCTCACAGGATGAGTGCTAGTGAACGACTGCCACAGCTCGACACTGGAAGCGTGCGGCTGAAACAAACCAAGAAGGGTGCTAGAAAAGAACACACATGGATCCACAGGATGAGTGTAAATTAACCACTGTCACAGTTGTTACTTCTTGTTTGTTGAGCAACGTGCTGCGAGTATCAGCTGTGCACAAGCTGACACTCTTGATGGGGTGGGGCCATCAAATTTCAAGGCTATAGCAAGCACTGTGTGGGTTTAAGAACAAATCTTAAGTCACTTCTCAAGTGTACCTAAATGCTCGTTCTCCTAATCGAGGCCTATCGCGAGTGCGTCCAACACTGACGTAGCTCTATAGGAAGAGCAACGAAAGTTGTGTGACGTCACACCAGATCTGTAGTCAGGGAAGTGACCTCCGGACTTCCGCCCCGTACTTACCGGCAAAGCATTGCGGCTGCTGCAGATAGCGGCGAGTTTGTTGTCCAGGTGCTTGTGTGCCACATGTGTGCGAGAGCTGACCATACTCAGCATCACGCGTGCAAAGCTTTGTGATCACGTGACTAAGCCAGCTACACTTCTACGTGTCCAACTCGGTCCCCACAAATAGGAACTCAAAATTGTCCATATCAAAAAGGCGACAAATTATATAGTGAGAATCTTGATGCGTGTATCGTGGCTATTGGAGCTATAATTAGAGCTTGAAGCGAAGAGCGCGCAAGCCACAAATATTGTGGCGCAACCCCTTGAAGGCCTGACTAAACATCTGCTTTGAAGCCCATCAGCGCGCCACTTTCCGACATGGCATCGTGCCCTCTTCCTATGGAGAGTGTGCGAGAAGTTATTAAGACTATGCTGTTATTTTATACTTGTGATATCCATATATTTATTGTAAGTGCTAGAATTGGTCATTTTTGAAAATTTTAAAGTGAGAAATTTCAATTTAGCATGCCGCTTTGAGTCCTTGAAAACCCTGCAATAGGTCCTGGAAAGTCCTTGAATATCCTTGAAATTTTGATTTGGAAACCCGTATGAACCCTGGAACAAAATGCATAAAGGTCTTGAAAATTCTCTAAAACCCTTGAATTTAGGAAATGTGTATTCAAGGCCCTTGAAAGTCCTAAATTTTTTTTGGCCCTTAAAAATCTTTAAATTTTCTGAGCAGTGCACTCATATAGACATTGCAACCTGCTAAACATGGTGGTAGATCGGCATGTCTACCTGTAAAACTCCCCATTTCAAAAGCAGTAACGCGGTGCGGGTGCACATTGTTCTGTTTTGCAAATTTGCGCGAAAAAAAAAAAAGGGGGACTTTCGTCGCAAGAGTGAAGCAGTGAATGCGATAGCAAGAATGTTACACGAAGAACGGCAAGCACTTCGCTACAACAAGTGTGCCCCTTAAAGAGACCAACAAACATTTTTTATGGCTCCTATTTTTTTCGCATGAAGGAAATCTTACCTGTCAGTGAGCCTGATCCCGGAATGGTAAAGCGAGAAACTCCGCGAAACATTTGTAATCTGAGTTTTTCTATCAACAGTGAATATGAAGTCATATATGTTGCAAACAGTGAGCGTGCAGTGGCAGGGTGTTTACAGGTCCTTAAGAACCATTGAATTTGAAAAATGCATCTTCAAGGCCCTTGAAAGTCCTGGAATTTTTTCCCATCCTTAAAAATCCTTGAATTTTCTGAGCACTACCAATTGACATTGCGGCCTCCTATATCGTAGATCGGCATATCTGCTAAGTCTCCCAGATTTCGACCAGTTCTTACGTTTGTACGGTTGTCAGGAAAATCTTCCAAAAATTGAAATTTCTGTGCGTGATATGACCATGTTGACAAAAATGCAGCCCAAATCGATCCAGGCTTTTTGAGAACCCATCGCATTGTATTGTGAACGAATTTAGAAGGCGTTCATCTAAACATACAGTAGAATCTCACTGATGCGAAACCGGCATATATACGAATTCGTGAATATCCCCAGCCAAGTTCCACTTTGCCCATTGGGTCAAAATTCAGATTGTCAAGCTCTTTTCCTCATCGCAGGGTTCGTATGAACTTTAGTGTCGAAATTGTGGGGCAAAAGATGGGAGCAGGCAGCGTGCTCGAAGCTTCGGAAGGACACATGTAGCCAGCACGTGCACTGTCAGAACTGCAATTATCGTTTGCCACAACAGCTGTGGTCGAAACCGTGGTCGTTCTTGGCATGACCGTGTGTGGCGACGACATTACAGAACTCTGAAAGTGCACGCGTCTTCAATGCTAAAAAAGTTGAAGCAACGTTGTGTTCCACAAACGCGGCAGACAAAATCGCGGCAGATGTGATCATAGCAAAATACTACATAGTTTTGGAGGTACGTGCACAGCCAGTGCACATGGATTGAAAAGGAAACTACCGGTTTACACAGTGGCCGCATGCGAAACTGTGGTTGCAGACGCGGCTATGTGTACAGGCGATAAAGATGTAAAAAAATGCTAAAAGTGTTTTGGCGTTCTTTTCCAAAGAGTATGTAACATTGTTCCTGTCGATCTTTGTACTTTGGCTATACTTAGACAGGTTTTCAGCTGGCCTTAAAGGGGCCCTGCTGCACTTCTTGAGCATGGTCAGAAAGCGCTGCCAATTGGTAGTAGAGGCTCCCGACAACACGCGAGCCAAATAATATAGCGCAGCACGCAGCCTGGAATTCACAATAAATTGTCAAAGCCAACTAAAAATTGCTTTCTTTTCTCTCGACAAATCATGGAATAAGCCTAAAAAATTATTCGTAAGAAGCCTATCCATCAGCCATTGGCTGATTCGAACATGGCGCGCTCGATCGTTACAGAGCTCACCGCGGGAAGCCGTCACTTGTCCACGCGTGTGCGCACGATCGCATTAAAAAAGCCACGTATTTAAAGAAAAAAAAAGAGACAAAAAAGTGCTCGAGGTCACAAGGCGCGCGTGACGTTTTTTGTTTGCCCCTCCCATCCCTCTCTGCTTAGCTTCCAGCGCTTTCGTCGGGACGAGAGAAGAGAGAATGCGATTGCAGCGTGTGATATATTTTTGTTACTCCACTCATACTGGGTGGATTCTTAAAATCTTGCGGTGCTGAATTTGTGAGGCAATAATCCCTTCCAGTGAATTAAATTTCATGGTTACCCAAAAAAGTGTTTCAGGGCCCTTTTAAGCGAAGCTTCGACCTGTGCTTTCCCGGCAACCGGCTGCGTCCTGTATGTTCGTGCGTGTCCCAGGAAGACATACGAGAGTTCTTTTGACAGAAATAGATTTTGCTAGTTGTTTTGGTGTTGGAAATTTTGACAGATACAAGCTTGCTCCATTTTGAGATGCACTTTTTACTGTAGTTGGAAAGCCCTACCCTTGGGTGTTCAGCCACTCAAGTCTGTATAAGGCCGTGCAAAGGGAATGCTTACTGACTTTGAGTTGCGGAAATCTGCCTCAGCACGTTCGTTGGTTCGTTTGCTAGGACATAAATTCCGTACCCGCGATGGGCGGTGCCAGTGCTTCATGCGAGTCGCGCCACGGGCGGCAATCGCAAGTCGATGTATTATCGGGAGTTCTACATCGACGGTGATGGCCTACGATATTAAAAAATTAGAACTGGTCAACTTGTGCCATATTAATAACACGTGGTTGCTCGCGTGGAGAGGCGTTATGAGTCCCATTCACTTATCACTTAGTGCCATACGCATGTGCTTTACAAGATAGTTGGTGCGGCGAGGTTTATTGGCTTCTGTGCTGCATTCTTGAGAGGGGTCTCGCACGAGGTGGCCGCGAACGGCGGTGCAGCGCACTTTTGTTTGTTAAATGCTCTTGATGCTGTCATGTCAAGCTTTTATTGCGATAGCAATTATAAGGAGTCTTGGCTGTTTTTGCCGTCGCCCCCGCCGTCATTCACCGTATATAAGAAAACTCAGAAAGAAAGAAAAAAAGCCGCCTGTGCGCAGCACACAGCTTGTCACGATGCTCATCTCCCATGCGTACTTTGCTCCACGAATAGGGTGGGGGGTTAGATGCTTGTGCGAGCACGCTTATCCTTCGGTGGGGAGAATGGTGTGCCTTCGGCCTTCACCGGAACAGTTGCCTTATTTGGGCTCACAAAGGTCACTTTGCTCCTCTGCACAGGCCCCATTTGCGAAATGAGCGCGCTTTTCATGCACAGTGAAGTATAATAACTGGGACATTTGTTAGTTTGCACTCATCTGTACTTGTGATTACGTTTCGTGTCTCGTTTTTGTTTAAACAGTGCGTTAAGTGTCAAGCGGTAAACGTTGTTAGTTCACTCTCGTTTTGTGTATGTTGTTTTTGTGCGTCATTTGAACATGAGCAGCATGCTGCTCATTTCGATCTGCTTTCCGTTCTCGGCATTGCATTCCAAGTTGTTGCTATCGCGTTCATTGCTTCACACTTGCTGCGAAACTGTGACTTTTTTTTTTTTTGAGTGAAGGACCTCTGTTACGTAACGAAGATTCTTGTGCAATCACAATTTTTGAATTTCTTTTTCAGTATGATGGGTTCTTTTTCTTAAATGTTTCCAGGGAACCTAGTTTTCGACAAAACCTTTTTTTATATATTATTTCACATGTTTGTTATGAGAGCTAGATAGCTCATGTGGTATGTAAAAAAGTAGTGCAGCTCATACCTGGTGATAATCTGTTTAAAAACTTCTTTCAAAATCCGTTTCATTGTTATATGTATTATAAGCCAATTAATACATGCACTGGTGCCCGCACTTTGCTAAAAATTTGTATTTTTAAGCTCCCATGACAACATATTAAATGCCGCTCACTGCTCTGAAGCAAGGTTCTGCTGCTCCAAAATTGAAATTTTGCTGCTTCAAAAACTGCTCCCAATATTTAGTCTCAGCCGTCTCACCCCTCAGTAAGCACTATTGCCAATTTTCCACGTTTTATGTAGCAGTCTCTCTCAAAAAAAAGTGACGAGCAGTTGTATGACGTGCATTATTCACAGCTGAGAAACCCCCGCCTGGACCTCGTGCTGACGTGCTATGCAGTGAAAGCGAGGCAAAGGCAGGCTTCCTTTATATTGTGGCTGTTCCCATTGAAAGTTCCCCCCCCCTCTCCCCCATTTCAAACAAAAATTACTTTTCTGAAACTTTCTTCATGTCTTACTAACGAAGCACACTGTGCGATGTCAGGGCATGTTACAGAACACTACATGGTCGAAATTTCCTGAGCCCTCAACGGCATCTCTCATAATCATATCTTGCTTTTGGGTACGAAAACCCCACATATATTATATAATCATATATAAGCTGTATTTTTACTTGGACATCTACATTGCGAAAGTCAAGTCGTAATATGAGTCAAAATGCTATTTATCCCAACTTTCTCATAATTTTCTGGCAATATTCATGCTTCATTCGCTCCCAAAGTATTTTAATAATTTAATAAAGAAACCTATAAACCAGGAGATGTGATTCCATTACTCACGAAATAATTTTGGCTTTTTATAAAGTATGTTAAACATGCAGCGTATTGCAATTGGAAGGCAAAAAACGAAGTTAGAAAAAAAAATATAAACAATCATAGTCGTGAAAGAGTTGTTCACAGGCAAAAATGGTTCACACTGCCTTCACATTAGGAAAAAAAAATTATTTCATAGCAATCGCTCAATCCAGAGATATTATATAAATTATTTAGCGTAGCTCAGTTTCATTTGGGTGCCCAAAGTTTGAAGCACCCTTCAGGCAATGCAAAGATTTTTTGTGAAATATAACTCCTCGATCACTACTTCTCGCATTCACTTATACCTGCACAATTTTTTTAGCATGATTGGAGATGGTCGAAAATTGACCGGGTACTCTTGGCATGGTTTGGCCCAGTAACATTTATTCATTTTATAACAGAACTGAAAAATCGACAGTGCCACAGTATCGACTGTACAGGAGAAATATTTGGTTCAGGCAAGGATGAAAACTCAAAAGGTTGTGTAACTAGTAAAATTATTAATTGAAAGACAAATCGTAACTCAATTTTCTTACTCGTTAGCAAACAATGTGATCACATCCTTATTCAAATAAATGTGAATGTCGGCCAAACACGTCAAAGGAATCTTCTTATGTTGTAATTTCACCTTCTCAAGTTCCCATCTATTCAGTTTGAAAAGCAACAAGGAAGCAGAAAAGGGATTGTTCTGTTCATAGTGGGTTTGGAGGTTAGAAGAAATCGATTTTGTATCAAGGACTTTTGAGCAAGCCAGATTGCCAATATTTACGCATACTTTTACATCGAATATGAGATATAATGAACCAATGTATCGACTCAATGCTATTTGTTATAACACGGTTCGGCTGTATTGCAACAGAGTGTATATAAATTTCTTGTATATATTTATGTATGTAAAGATATGACAGGCCTTCGAATGTATATCTGTAAACATTAGGTGTATGATAAGGTGTAAAATGGTGCAAATATTGTGTGCCTGATGTATATTATACTGTGTGAATTGATGCAGATTTTATCATTAGTCAAAGCGTTAAGACCACATGAGACTTGCAAACAGGCAATGTTCAATTTATTCTGGGCTCTTGTGGAATCATAAGATCACCTTCATGGAACACAGATTCAAAAACCCTGAAGAAGTTTCTTAGTGGATGAGTTAGATCTTTTTGGCCATGCATACACTTGATTAAATACCTTTCTGCTGCCTTTCAACATGAAATTTGGTTTGCTTTGATAACACAAACTTTAGGTGTTGTACTGTAATGTTGGCTATGTGACAAGATGATTATGATGCAATTTTTTTCGCCTTGTATGTTCCTTCGGTTTGCGTAGTTGATGTATTTTACTTACATAGGGGGGAAAATTTTTTTTTGTTAGTCTACTCTTGGAGAAAAATGGGACTTGAGATAATTTTGTTTTTTCAGCTTCAGATGAACCCACTCGTACAAAGTGTGAGAAAAGGGCTGCATCCGAAGAAGCAGATGCCCATTTATCGAGCAAAAAGATACGGACATCGGAGGATCAGATGGAGACTCCTGAAGAAAGCCCAGCAACACAAGAGGCAGTGAGAACCCACGAATCATTGGATGTAATCATCTATAATATATCTTCTTATCACATAGTTGTCAGAATTTCGCATATACTGAAAATGAAAGAGTACAGAAATGTGTAGACTTGCTTATTCTATTTATCTTTTGCTGTATTGTGTTTGCTTTTTATTTGACTTTTGTTGCAGACCTTAACATCAGTGTCCACGGATTTTGATTGGAAGTGCTGATGCTATGTACCAGTGTGATTAGCACTAGATTCACAGTGGTGTGTATTTCAGCTTTATTCGAGGTGAAAGCTAGGTGTGGAATCCTTGACACATTCATATCTAGCAAGAGTTGTCATTAAAATCCCATGAGCATGTTCAACGTGCAAGCAGTGAAAATGTAGGCTGACAAACCTGGATTTAACGTATTGCTGCCACGACCAGTGTTCTGTCTTTCGAGAAACTGGCTTTTATTCAATTATATAGGCACGCTGGGTGCACTTTTGCCATCAGCATTGCTATTGAGTTCCACATAAAGACCAATGGGAATAACATCACCCCGTACAAATATATATGTTCTCTTTGTTAGTGAGAAAGTAGGGGCAGCCAACGATCATAGCTGAAATAGAGAAGAGATGCACAGGTTGTCTCGTACAAAAAAAGCTGGCAGGTCCTCATCAGCAGGAGAGTGTCCTGTATGGCTTTGGCAGGAATGGCATACTTTTGAGTGGCTGGGCGTGGCCACGTCTAACAACTAGAATTAAGAGATGGCTCATACTTGTGTACATGCTGTGTTCTAGCCACCAAGTGGGCATTGGGGCAATAGACAACTTGCTACAACGGCTGCTTTTTCTTCCAGCAGAGTAGATGCTAAACAAGTTGGCTGCTGGCCTTACTTTGTACTAGGTTCTGATTTGTTGCTATTGCATTTTCTTGCTTTGCCCTTGCTGCAAAGTTGACTTCCTGAAATTCCTTTAACGCGAGTGCGTTACGGATCTCGTATTGTTGAAATTCAAGTGTCGGCGTCTGTGCTGCTCACTTTGAGGAAAAATCCAGCAATTTCTGTACAGAAGTATTCAAGATACATGCAAAGAAAGAAAAAAAGTCGCAGCTTTTCTGCAGAGCCGGAGCAATGAACGTGATTGCAACAAATTTGAAGGTCACACGCATAATGGCAAGCAGATCTAAACATGCCCCGCGTTTCTCATGCTCAAAGGATGCACGAAACGTACTTACAGGTACAGATTAACGCGAATAAGCGTCTCAGTTCCTGCTTTGCTGTGTCTGAAAAGCGCCCCCATTTCACAAACGGTGGCTGTGCAACAATTGCAGTGACCTTTGCGCGCCCGGTAGCTACGACAGAATCGTTCCGACGAAACTAAAAAGGCTAGCCAAGATGTACGATTCTTTCCACTGCAAGATAAGGGCGCGCTCGAGCGAACACCCCCTTATTCTCTACGCGAGCCAAAGTACGCATGAGAGATGACAGCTGCCACGTCTTCACTGCTCTGTCTTGCTGATAATGCTTCAAACACGTTGGTTCCCCCCCCCCCCCTGATATGCCCACCAACTGTGGTAACTGGTAGGTATGAATAGCTTGTCGTTTGAACGTTGAAGGAGGTACCTCTCGGTGGCTCAGTGGTTAATGCCTAGTATTCATGACGCGGAGGTCCTACGTTCGATTCCACGCGCCGGAAGTCCTTTTTCTGGGATTTTTTTCTTTATTGCGTTTTCATATATATAGATACGTATACATATACGATGCATGACTTCGACACCGACACCGGCAGCAAAATCTAGCCAGGAGTGCCCATATAACTGCCATCGCAATAATAATATCAAATCTTTGGCTCAACTGGGAAAAACACCCAGGATTTGTGTGTAGCATGCAGGTGTTCTACCATAGAGTTACACCAGTGCTTGAAGCTGTTTTTGGAAATAATCCTCTATGAACCTCGTTTAGTAGTAGTAGTACTTTTATTTACAGTAAGCCGGATACAGAGCTCATTGCAGTGCGAGGAGTCTTCTCAATGCACGCAGTATTGCGTAGCAGCAGTGTTTATTCACACCAGGTGTCAGTTGTGCAATGAGTGGTTGGTTTAAAAGCCTACCAATTACAAAGTGCACAGGAATAGTTAATTATCATCAGCATAAACATAGTGTACAGGTGCTTGTGAGAATACGTAGTGAGCACTTTGCAACTGCACTTGCAGTAGGCATTGCAGGACACTTTTAAATGACCAGTGTAACTCACACAGACATTCCTTTTCCTTTCAGCATAATTGAGGTGTCCATGAAGAACTGAGCGCGATTGAGTAGGCGATCTCAACGAAGCCCAATTATGCTATCTCGTTCTACTATCGAAAGCGAAAATCAAATGTCCACCAAGTTTACTTTCTTGGGGGAGACCAGCCAAAAATTTGCCTATTGAATTACTGCTGCTCATGTTTTTATTCTAGAAGCCTAGTGTGCGTGAACAATTGACACCATGGGTGATGAAGTAGGGCAAAGTTCGTGATTGCTCCCTTCTGACTGTGTGCAGCCAGCTGGGGCTGTGAATGCCTGGCAGGAGTGGGTGCAGACGAAAAATGCAGAGCTCGAGAAAAGTTCCCTCTCAGGCAAGCGGCAGCTGAAGCTGTTCAAGACAAACTTGATGAGCATGACTCCTGAAGAGCTTAATTACGCCCTCTGCCTTTTCATCAAGGAAGTGAGGCAGTGTGATGGCACGGCTCCCTCTCCATGTCGCATCTACCTCCTGTGCCTTGGTAAGCATAGTAGTTCCAGCCATGTGTTGGTTCTCTGTGGTATGATTATGTTTAGGGGTGTGCAGATATTCGAAGCTTGAAATATTCATCGAAAAATCAATCGTAATATGCATATTCGATTTGAAAACCACATATTTGAAAGTCGCATAAAACCACATATTTGAATATTTGAAGTAGCCGAAATATTCAGTCGCATGTGTAATTGTAAAGAACGCCGATCTTGCGCCTTTACAACAAATGCACCAACAATAGACCATGCAGTGATTACTGCGACTTCGGCACTAGTGCTATGATAGCTGCACGGAAATGCATGCTGTACGTATGGCTTTGCGTTTTTGTTTTGTGTACCGCTCGTGTAAGCGTACTGAAGTGCTCATCCACACAGCTGTCAAATGACCCATAGCTGCACCGCCTCGTGGAAAAAACGTAGAGAAGACGTGATGGAGCTGTGTACGAACAGACGAGAGCGGTTGAAACGGGTCGCGACGTCGACAGGAGCAGGTCTTTGTACGGTTTTCACCAAGCACTCTCATGTTCGGTTAAACATGGAGAAATAAAATAATTTTTCAGTAAACAAGTTAAATCAGCATTTATTGGTACAATGTTAATGTAAACAAGAAATAAATGTTAATAGTGCATTATGAACGCAATATGAAGGTTATTGTAAAGCAGGAAATGGAACAGCATTGATCACAGCTGGCAACACTGCTGTCGCGTGTCAGTGACCCCTTCCTCCATGCAGTGACCAAGTCGTTGTTTTGGCTCCCTGTTTTCTTCTGTTCATCAGACGTGCCGAGGGGCACTGGTACGATAAGGGGTGGGGCTCTGTCATCATGCTGGCGACGGGAATGTATAGAAACGCTCTACATCACCACCAACCCGTTTTCGAAAAGAAAACGGCTCAGACCTTCTCTGTCCTGACGAAAGCTGGGGCCGTGATAGTAACGGGATGGGTCGTGTGATGGCTGTGTGAATAAGTGTACCGAACACATGCCGTTCGCTGCTGCACACTTGTGCACAGTACTGCTTTAATAAGTGTGCATCGCCCAGGCAACTTGTTGTCGTTGCATCAGCCCGGCAAAATACTCATCACATTTTTGCACGGTCCTGAGCTGATTGAGCCCGAAGAAAGAAAAATGTCACTGCGCAAGGGCAAATGCACGTGTACGTTACAGCGGGCAGTGCTGATGGGGTGAGCTTAGTTGGTGAAGCACTGCATGCAACTAGCAAGGGTTGCTCAGTTTGATAGTACTCAGCAGGTAAGTCGTATCACATGTCGCTGTGCCGGTTTTGGCTAATGATCGCCACAGGAACTTAGGTGTATGCTTCAACAGAAGCCTGACGAGTCTTCCGTCTACTGGCGCTCTCTCATTATGTATTGCCTGCCTGTCATGGTTCCGAAATGATTAGATGGTAGTGCACGATCATGCGAATGAGCTGAGGTGTTTTTTTTTCACACTATGGCCAACAAAGAAAGGCCATGCAATTTTGTTAATGTTGCAGTGGCGTCCTCGCGTATATTTCCATGTTGCTAACAGTGGTACATGTTAGGTGACTGAAATTTGAGGTAGTTACTGCGTAGTTAGCTGTGCAGTCCCGACAGTGCCCTTGCGAATCTATTATATATGTGCATCACACTTGCGCAGCAGTGTCTTGTGCGATCAATCCTCCATAACCCCGTTACTGCGGTCTTGCTGTTTTGCCATCAGTTTACTGCCTTCAGCAGCCATTGTGCGGAAGGTGGTCGCAGTGCGGCAAAATAGAACCTTCACCACTGTAAAAAAAAAATCATCTTTGGAGTGTCATTTTGTCACACAACAATAATAATAATAATAATAATAATATGATCTTGCATGCCTTTCATGCATTAACACCGTGCGCCCAGTACTCCTAGGGGGTATGACAGTGCTGTTGAAAGAAGACACCCCAAGTGCTCCTGTTTGCCTTATTGTGTCGATTGGTGAGAACGGGCAAAAATAAAAATAAAATAAAATGTGGTGCTGTACGTGCCATAACTCGAAGTTTGGCAAAGCAGATAAACTGACCCCCTAGAGTGCTTTAATAATCGCTTAGATTCAAGTACACAAGCGTTCACTGTTACAATTCACCAGATTGGAATGTGGCTGCCATAGCAGAAACTCTCCTTACTCTATTATCAGATAAGTGTTAGCTTCACACTCTGATAGGACAAAGGGACCAGTTGGGCGGCTGTGCTTCAACCATGGATCTGTCGCGCTTGCGGCATAGGATTTATGTGATCCCAACTCGTGGTGTAGTGCACATCGACACTCACTCGCCCCTCGCATGAAACACAGCTTGAGGCGCCTGCAGAAGGCGCCGGCGTACACTGAACATTCAGTGTATTATGGAAGAGGTGGGGTGCGGTACGTACCACAGACTGGAGGAGAGAACAAGAACACTAGCGCACAAGTGCGCCTTTCTTGTTGTTCTCTGCTAGAGTCCGTGCTATGTACCACACCCCTCTTCTTACACAATGAACCGTTACCAACTAGCCCAAATGGCTGTTTTGCTACAACAAATTCAATGTATGATCAACTCGCAGTTGATAACACACAACCACTATTCGGGCCTTTACCGACTGATCAATTAAATCTGACTAAATGTTTTTCCCAGCACTTGTACCTTGGGAATGGACCAAATATTAATTTTTCCAGTCTTAAAGTTGGCCCTTTCTGGTTAATTCCAACTTGACTGGTCATCTTGCCTGAGTGCGCTCGCAGGGCCAGTCTATCAATTAAGGGAAAGCAGCATCTAGTTGAATGGTGCTAAGAAAGCTACAAACTTGCAGTCCAGATCACTTACAACGTAACTGCTTATAATGCAGGACTGGCTACGAAGCAGTCTTTTTTCACTCCCGTTTACCCTCCCATTAAACCCCACGTATATGTATACCGCTTATTGTGCTGTCCCCCAAGATGAAATACCTATTATAATACGGTTGCTGGATAATGTTTCAGACAAACGAGTCAGCGAGTGTGCTTCTCAAAGGAGGTACGCTGAGTACGCCACTAGGGAGAGATCGACGAATTATTGTAAAGGAGGAGAGGTGCAAAGTGAACAAATGGAGAGGCGGAGACCACGATAGAGCTGTGCAGGCTCGCCAATTAAGGAAGGTGGCTGGTTGCCTACGCAATGGAGAAGCTTTAACACCGGTGCCGGCGTAGAAACGTTCGCGCACGCTATGGCACCTGCGAGCGCGTCCTCAAGTGTGCTTTGAGTTTTGTGGTGGGAAAAACATTGTTATCGTGTTTTCCTACTTCATTTGTGAATTGGGGTACAACAGCTGTGCTAATTGCAGCAATCTGATACAATTTTCTATTGTTGTTCTGAACTGCTCCAAAACTGAACTTGCGCAACGCTGCGCCAAAATGCCAAGCCAGCCTAAAAAATTTCTGAGGTGCGCTAATTTTGACGAGAAATGCAGGCCACATCAGCCACCTACAGTTTGTGTCATCCGTCAAAGCGTCCAAACCTCAGCTATAGTGCCTAGAGTGTACTTTAAATATGACCAGATAAAATAACAATGCTGCGCGCCCATCGGTCTGTTGGTTGCAGCAGGTACCTATCAACAGGACGACGGAACTTCCAGACAAAAATGCATTGCTGTAGCCACCAACGCTCGCGGGAAACGTAAATTTCCTAGCCTCAAAACGTGGCTATGGCTTGTTAGGAACTAAAGCTGGAAGCGTATGCCTCATTTTCCTCGTCTGAACAAGCTCGGCATGCTGCGAACGCCGCATTGCCAGGGACCACGTACGTTGCCTTAGAAGTGGCGCATGAAACTTTTTTTTTTAAATTTGTGTCGTCCCGGCCTTGGTCCTAGTGATAGATATGCAGTACCGTCGCTGGGCCAACGGGTGTGTGTCGTTGTTACTTTACCTGGTCGAACGCGCTCATAAAATTTCTTGCCTTTGGTTCTAACCTGTACAGATAATGCTGCTTAAGGCACCTCCGACGCAGTACACTGGTGCCCAGTGAAAAAGCGTATTGGAATTTGGAAAGGACTGTTAGCGTTACTCACGGGACACAGCAGATTTTGTGAGTCTGGCAATATATGGAGCAGTGTATGCCATTTATGCTAAAAAAAAAAAAAAACTAAATTGTGCACCAGCTTTTTTTTTTTTTTGCCATCCCTACTTCTTGGTTTTACGAATCTCCCAAATTTCAAGGTAGCGAGCGTGGCAGATCTATATTTAAATTCACAGAGTATGTCAATTGATTTGACAGGTGCAGCAATTACTAATGTGGAATTCATCACTGTTTGCTCAGTGGGGTGGTTCGAAATACTACTTTCATTGAAATAGCAGTGCTCATGTTCACACTGCACGATTTAAGTGATGTTGAATGGTTTATAGTTTTTTTTTTTTTTCAAAATATAAGTCGTCTTATTTACGCTGCTCCAAATTTGTTATTTCGTGATATAAAAAAAATGTATGATTTCATGCCCATAACCTGCTCCAAATTTGGATTTTAGTGCTTCAAAAGTAACATTTTGCTGCTCCAAAAATTGCTCCGAATTGTATTTTAGCTGTTGCACCCCTGGTAAATTCAAAACTTTATGGTATTATGACGCGAGCTTTCGCCTTTGCTGCCAGTGTGCTGACTTACACAAGCTTGACGAACTTTTGTCGTTTTTGATCTCTCAGCCAATAAATCAAACTTTGTATCACGCATGCTGCCGATGTGTCAATGCTTAAGTGCGATGTTTTCAACGTCCATTCTCCTTGTTGTCTTCGACAAACTTCCGTGACAAGATGCCATTAAGCGGGATAACCCTAATCAGCTTTAGTTGCCTTTTCGGTAGCGGTGATAGGGGGTCACAGTTGTGGTTTCTTGCTGAGTCAACGTAACTTTTGGCAGTGGGTGCACTTGAAGCACAAAGAATTGTTGTGCCGCTAGTTTCGGTTTCAGTGTGTAGTCTAGCAACATTGATGTGCTGTTGTTGTCCTATATATATGAGTGCCCCAAAATAAAGCGTC